GGTGGGTGGCGCCCAACATTTACTACCTTGGTAGGGTCCCCAGCCGTGTCCCGTCACCTCCTCCCCTACCCCAGCCCTTGGCCCTGCACCGGCCCCGCCGTAACGAGCTGCGTTCCCCTCTCCCCTAGGTTACGCGGGCGTGGTGCGGTTCCGTGGTGTGAGGATCGGCGGCATCTCGGGCATCTACAAGTCTCACGACTATCGGAAAGGTATGGCAGGACAGAGCGGGAGTGGCTGCGGGGGAGTGGAGAGTGGAGCGCTGGACCTGAGCCGTGGTGGGAGGGCCTGGCTGCTCGAACTCCTCTGGGTGGAGCAGGGTGTGGCAAGGTGGGAGTCGGTTTGTTCTCCCCAATAACAAGAGATGGGACAGGAGGAAATGGCCCCAGGTTGTGCCAGGGGAGGTTTAGATCGGATACTAATAAAAATTTATTCACTGTGAGCATTATCAGGCATTGGGACGAGCAGTCCAGGGAAGTGGTGGAGTCACCATCCCTGGAGGTGTTTAAAAGACAGGGAGATAAGGTGCTTAGAGTCACAGATTAGCAGTGGACAGGTTATGGTTGGGCTCAATGATCTGAAAGGTCTTTTCCAACTGAATGACTCTGTGGTTCTCTATGAAACCTCTTCTGGCTCAACATGCAGATTTTTCTGGAGGTGGTAGATGAGTTGGGTAGCTGCCTGGCGATCGCAGCAGGAAGCAGTGCGCCTTTTGAATGTTGTTGGAACAGTGTTGATTCTTTTCATGGTGGTGTCCTTTTAGCTTGCAATGCAAGACCGTTTACTTTTCATTGTGTGAAACAGTCATTTTGTAAGCGTGGTATTGTACAAATGTACTGTCCTGAGCTGAGGATTGCTGTCAGAATATCTCAAGATCAGTTCCTCCAGGTTATGTGTGTGTGTTCCAGAGTTCTTCCTTGAAGGGTCTCCATCAGCAGATAGCAGTCTTCTCACAGTTGTTACCTGGTGCCAGCAAGTAGAAGATAGTTTTTAGTTTTTCTAATCTCAACACGTGGATTAGCAGTGTCTTACTGGCAATTACTGTACAGTAATATCTTTAGTAATATACTGCTTCAGAGAAGTTTTGCAGATGTCTTTCAAGCTGAAAGTACTGAACTAGTTTTCTAGAACACCTAATTCTGCGTAACAACTATCAATGCTAATTAAATCTGTTGTTCTCAAGCATACAGTTTGTATGCCTGATTATTGGATATGGGAGATGAGACTTGTTTGACAATAATATTCACTACTAAGAAGTAATTTTTCTGTTTGTTCTTAAGAGTACATCGGAGCTCTGCTAGGCATTCAGGTTTCTTTTTCCAAGGCACAATTGGAGGCTGTGTCCCTTTTGACAGGGTACATGTTGGCACTTCCGGAGTCTGTGGTGCCTGTGGGCAGTTACAGGCATGTTTCAGCTGCTGCTGCATCGGTTAATCTGTGGTTTTGTGGTAGGTGGCAGCACTCTTCAAGAAACACAAAATATCACAGCCTCGGCAGCCCTAATCAGGAGTCAGGTCTCACACAGTGCTTTAATGTCTTCCTGAGATACATCCTAATTTATTTTCTGATCAGTGACCACTCGTAGACCTTACTATATTCTTTATGCTTATGGAAATAAGCCACAGAATGGAAGAAATGCTCATTGTCTTAGATGCATTTTTACAACGTATTTTCCTCACACACAAAAGAAATTATCAGCCTGTTGGTGTAAGCCTCATGTAAAGGGAAAACAGGAAACCTCCTTCAGTTACTGGCAGCCTTGTGTCTGGGATTGCTCAAGATATCTATAATGACCCCCAAGAAGCCAGCTTGCAAACGAGAGGGAGCTACTCATTCAGGCAACAACTTTTTTTTTTGCCAAATGTTCCAGGTCACTTTGAGTGTCCACCATACAACCAACAAACAATTAGAAGCGCTTACCACGTGAGGAACATTGAAGTCTTCAAACTCAAGCAGGTTAGTGAAAAATCCGTTGGCTTTTTTTTTTTTAACCAGTGGTCCATCAATTTCATTAATTTACAAGATGTTAAAGCTGTTCTCAGCAGTACACTACTGGATAGCAAATTTTACCAAAAACTTTCAGCCAGTTTTTATCAAAAGCTCTCAACACGTCATTTTATGCTGGCCATAATTCCACTGTTGTTCCTGTTGAATATCTGCACTACTTTGCATAGCAGTGCAAATTTGGTCTGAATCAGGCACAAGCAAGTGTGGGGTTTTTCATTTAATTGGATAACATTTATAGAACAGAAGGTACTCCAGCTATATACCTGTTTCCCAGCTTTATGTTGGCTTTAGGAAGGTGCATGCTACCTTGTCTAACATGTAAGCTGGTTGATACAAAGTTTTGCAATCAAAATTGAACCAACTGAATAAGCTGATCCAGAATTTCTGTGGTTGAAGTATTTTTGACTCCATGGCGAAAAATTCAAAGGACAAATTTGCTTTATTCTTGACCTATTGTCTACTCCCTGCTTTGTCACCATCACCTTTCTGAAATTGTGGTGTGAATACGTGTATTTATAAGCATCTGGTGAATGATAATTCAGTTTGCAATTGCGCACTGAAGTGTTCAGTAGATACAGGGATGCTGAAGACAGCACAGAGGTTTGCTCTCATCATAAAGCATTTGATGCATTGCACTGTGAGTTTCTTATTAGTTGGATTTGAGTTTCATCTGGAAGTGTATTCTGATACAGCTGTTGGAAATATGCTGAATCTCGAACCAAGACATACTTAAGACAGTGTTTAGACTTCCAAGGAATGCTTTTTTATGAGGAGGAATATTGTGCTTAGCCACTATCCCTTTTAAACAAAGCTTTTACTGTAGAGTCCCCTGACATCTTCAGAGGGCAGCTGAAGGATGGGGTTCACTGGTGTTCTTATTTGCTTTGAGAAGTGAGGCTCTTGGTCACAGCAAACTCTGTGTTGTGTTGCGTCTTGTGCTGTCTAGCTTTGAAACTGCTTTATCACCTGTGTTTTATTTATACTGTATGCATTTCGACTTGACAGTTAAAGCGTCCCATTGATATATTCATGTCACATGACTGGCCAAGGAGCATATATCACTATGGAAACACCAATCAGCTTCTTAAAATGAAATCCTTCTTCCGTCAAGAAGTGGAGAGCAGCACGTTAGGAAGCCCTGCTGCTTCAGAGCTTCTGCAGCATCTGAAGCCCACCTACTGGTTCTCAGCACATCTCCATGTGAAATTTGCAGCTTTTATGCAACACGAGGTAAAGTGGGAGGAGGGGAAAACCAAGAATGCATATGTGCCAAGCACATTTTAGAATTCCACTTTGGGTAATCATGTCCAGAAAAAAATTTCTTAGAATGTCTTTGCTCAGTTATTAAAGCTCAGCTTAAGCTGAAAGACATTAAGTGGTGTTAAGACTACTAGCTTATATAAGTTGATATAAATCAGTGGTGTAACTACTTAATCTTCTTCAGGGACAGTGTGAAATAGCTTACCTTACTGCACTTGAAACTTCTTAATCAGAGTTTATAGAAAAGCATTCTCTTTCCCACTTTATTGGGGAAGAAGACAACTTCAAAACAAGGTAATAGAGAAGCGACTGAAAAAAGGACAGAGGTTAACAAGGGATGGGAAGGTTCCTGTATTGGCAGATGAAATTGTCTGGTGGCCTGGGTAAAGCCAAAAACCAGCCCCCGTAGATTGAAACTTCCTTTGAGAAGTAATGTGACATGCTGTTCTATTTACAGGTTTATTTAGCTGTAAAAATGTAACTCTAAACTCAACAAGTCTATTTCCAGTTACATTAAAGCTTTTCTTTTGGCTTCAAGGATAGGTGTCCTCAGCTGCCTTGGTTAAGGATGAAGTGTGGCTCTCACTTTATCTTGCTGTCATCTGCATCCAGCTTCGTGTTAGACTTTCACTGAAGTCTGTCCTTCTCTTATCCCTCCATCCCTTTAAATCTCATGCTAAGTTTCTATTTCAGAAAATCTTTTTTTCTGTATAAAATATGTCTTTAAATCTCTGTATAGAACTTGTTTAGAATGGTGACATTTGACCGAAATGCTAACGACTCTGTTAACACCATTTGTTTCCTAGGCAAACGCCAAAGAAGAGCTACCAAAGGCAACCAAGTTTCTGGCTCTGGATAAATGCCTGCCTCACAGAGACTTCCTGCAGGTGATGACCATGTGGAGTGGGGTTTCACTTTTTAAGTACTTCACTTGCCTGGACTGTTAAGTGCTGTGTTCAGATAAAAGCTAAGGAATAGTTCAGATAAATGGAGGAATTGGAAAGAAACTAGGGGTGGTGCATGTGTGGAATGGTCTCTGCATCTTGTTGTCTTGAGCTAAGCAAAACTTGTTTGCTTATTCCTACCATTTCCTTCCACCTTAGAACAAGTCCTTGATGTAGCTGGAGAAGTAGCTCTGCTTTAACTGGGATTGAATCTCTTCTTGTGGTTTTTTGAGAAATTTAGTCCTAAGAAGAAAGCCCATCTTGGGGCTCTTCTTTTCTCCTGGACCAGTTTAGGTCAGACAGTGATTCTGTCTTCAGATCTGGATTCATGAATTCAGACAGGATTGAGTCCTATGTTGAGTACTGTAATTTTCTTTCAGTATTGTGGATTCTAGCAGGAATTGGTGTGACTTTCTAGAGGAATGGCTCTGCTGCTTTTTGTTTGGTGTGTATCTTGGCTAGAAAGGGCAGTGGCCAAGCAGGAGGTCTGGGCTGTGGGAATTCTCTATGCAAATGCGAGTGCCAAATTGATTTGCCAGGGGTGGAAGTGTTCTTGTCCATGGGCTGTGTGTGCTGCCTGCAGTGCCGTCTGTAAAAATCTCAAATGGATCAATCCAAGATCCTTTGCTATGAGAGGGAGCTGCTGACAGCATGTTCTTCAAATGTGGTCAAGTGTTTTAGTAGTCTTACTTTAAAGTATTTCTGATGTATCAGTGAAAAGGGAAGATGGTTCATTATTTGTCCTTTGTATGAGTGCTGGAATCCATTTGCCCTAGTAGCTGCCTTTGAAGATGGGACAGAGTATGAGGGTCAGCTTTTGCTATGCAAAGGTATGCTGGGATGCTAGTCTACACTTAAAAGTCTAGTATTACTTCCAGCAGTGTGGTGATCTACCTGTGTAGAGCTCTGGTGTAAAGTGTATCTTTTTTTTCCTAGAAGGTTGAATTACTTCATGGGTTATTTAAAATCAGAGCCTGACTAGTGCAGTTTGGCTAAACAGAATGATTTGATGTGGGTTAATGTCACTGAAGACAAAAGATATTTAAACTTCAATTCATCATGTGTTGAAAGGTTTAAAAAGCATTTTATATTCATTTCATTGCTGTGTAAAGAATGCAAGTTTATACAGCAGAATAACTGTTGCTATCAATTCTTGATGTATTTCTGCTTTGAAGCTGGTATGAGTTTAAGAGTAGGCAAATTCTGGTTTCTCAGTTGCATAATTGTCCAGGAGCTGGCAGTAGCGAGGGAGGGTGTCCTGCTTTTTAATTGCTTTAAGCTACAATACAGAAATGCCTTTTTTTACTACTCTTGATTGTCCTTTCTTAGCCCTACATGGAAGTTTATAGCAATAAGGGGCTAACTTTAGAAGACTTGTTTGATTGAGACCACTAGCTCAGTGTTCTTGAAACTTAATGCTTTATACTATGAAAATTACACTTGAAATTTTATTTAGTTTCTGGTGTCAAGAGAAATAACTCACCTCATCTCTTTTTTGTGTTATTTTAAACAGATAATAGACGTAGAACATGATCCTAGTGCAGGTGACTCACTGGAGTACGATGCTGAGTGGATCGCAATCCTCAAGGCCACTAACAGTCTTGTTAATGTGACTCAGAGCTCATGGAATATGCCTGAAAATAATGGCCTCCATGCAAAGTAAGTTGCCAAGTAGATTTTGCTGGACTGGAAGTAAACTTATAGTTGTGTTTCTCTGTTCTGCAGCTTGTAATGTCTGTAGTACTTGCTAAATGCCTCGGAAAACAAAGGGGATGTGGACAAGAGCTGTACTCCAGAGCATACAACTTGCTCTACATGGGCAGTTAGTTTTGTTTTGCAAACTTAGACACTACCATTTGAGGGGCAAAAAATGCACGGTGGCTGGTCATCTTGCCAGTTACACTGTGAGACTGAAAATCGGGCTGGATTATGGGGGTGAATGGGTCAATGCTTATTGAGTGAGTTGACAAATCTTTGGTGCAGAGAGGGGAATCTCAGTATTGACCTATGTAACAGACATTCCTGAAAAATAACGTGAAAAAACGGATGTCTGTTGTAAGGTGAATTTGTTCTCCTTCTTTAAAGTTCCTCTTTGCAATGGGAACAGGAAATGCCTTTTGACTAACTGCACTTGTTTATACACCCTTTTAGGTGGGATTACAGTGTGACAGAAGAAGCCATCAAAGAGGTGTTAGAAGAGCTGAATCATAACCTCAAAATTCCTTGTAACTTCACATTGACAGCTGCTTGTTATGATCCCAGCAAGCCCCAGAAACAGGTGGAACCAGTTCATACCATCAATCCACAGACCACTGAGTTTTGTGCCCAGTTTGGCCTCACTGACATCAATGACAGGATCCAGCAAGCTAAAGAAGAGGGCTCAGTACGAGGCGAATATGAAGAGGAGGAGGAAGAGGAGATGGACAGTACTGGGTCAGCGGAGGAACCCAGTGAATACAGTACAGACAATTCTGGACTTTCTTCCATTAATCCAGATGAAATACTGCTGGATGAAGAGGGTGGTGATGAGGACTTGAGTACGTGTTCTGTAGATCCTTCCCCTGATCATCCTCTTGACTTTTCTGCAAGTTTTTCTGACATCCGGATCATGCCAGATTCCATGGTGGTATCGTCTGATGATGCTATGGACTCCACTAATGAGGAACTGGAGAAATCTGGTGTGAGTAAGCAGGTGGAAGAGAAGAGCTTAAATGAGAGACCATTAAAGCGTACTGGTGGTAGTGAAAATGGGAACAGTGGCATTAAAAAAATTAGAAGAAGGAATCAAGCTCTCTATGCTGCAGAGAGTGAAGATAAAACAGAATAATACTTCATGTGATGTATAGCTACGTTCTCTCCCTACCTTCTCATGGGAAGATGGTGAGAACTGTGGTGAACTACTCATGCTTTTAACTTTACTTATTCATATTACTTTCTTAATCTGAAGAGGCTATACGTACCTCTTGCAAGGAAGAAGATTTATCTGCATTAAACATGTAAGTCAGAAGTAGACTTTTCCAACAGAGTACTTTGTCAAAGTACATAAAACTCACGTATAATCAGTTGACTTTGATTCGGTTCTTGGTTATTAGTGTATACTGCGTATCTTCAGCTGTACCGCTGTACAAGATTCATCATGCTCGTTTAACAAGAAAGAACTCTTAAACTGCAACTCAAGTCAAAGTGAGAGGATGTCTGACTTGCAAGACTGAATGATTTGATTTTATTGCTTTTGTCTTGTTTTATACTGAACTTTTAATACAAAGGAGCATATGCAATAACTCTATGAACTAAATTCGAAAACAGAATTCCCAGGATAACAAAACAGCAATAGAAGAGTGAAGATTTTTGTTCTGGTATATTCATACCATAGGAAAAATGGTCATGAACAAAACAATGTGTATTGTCCATTACTGGCTTTTAATTACAGTTTTGATAGAGAACCAAGTTTCTTAATTTGAAGCATGATCTTTTTTGAGAACCATGAAAGAGTGCTTTTCTGTTCTTAAAAAAACCTCCCTTGTCTGCTGTTTCTTAACTTGAGAGACATGTCTTAAAATGCAAGTAGTTAGGATGAATGGCTTCCTAAATGCGGGCATCATCACAGTCTCAATTCTTAATAATTAAGGCTGTGTTTTATTTTCATATAAGCTGATTGATGTTTATAAGTTGCTTGAGACAATAGTGTCTCCCACTATCACTAGCCTAAGTTTTCAGCTGTTGCTTCTTTTCAGTAGTGTGTAACTTGCCCGGTTCTTACAGCTGGATTTGGAATCTTCCAATGCACCTACATGAATTTCAGCTGAGGGAGAACAGGAGTTGCTGAAATATAGACCCCCTTGGAAGTTTTCTTATTACTGTTCTAGTTTGCCCTGAATTATTAGCAAACACATTACACTCCTTTGGCATAAAAGGTTGTGAGGATAACAAAACTTCCTGAAACTCATGACAGTATTTTAAAGAACTACAGCGTATGTCCTTAGACTCATTAGTCTTAGAGTCAAGTTCTGCTGGCATTCTGTGCTGCACTTTTGGAGTCCAGATGGAGCAGGACTTCCCTGTGACTGCTGCCTGTGAGAGCAGAGGTGGCTCCCGGGGGGTTTACTCCTGTAAGGCACAAGCGCTGTGGAGAGGGAAGCGTCCTGGTGGGAAGAGGGACCTGGACAGGGAGCAGTGAGGGAAATGCATTGATGGGTGTGAGTTATTTACCGGGGAAGCACTTTAAGGTCAAGACTGCTGTTTTCAAAATCACTGCCACGTTCTGGGGTTCATCTAGGTTCCTCTCTCGGCAGTTCACTATGAAAACTAAATGCGGGGAAGGATTCAGGAGTTAGAAGATGGCAAAAGTGATGTTCTCCACAGTTCTGGTTAACAGCTTTACACTGGTGGGTTGATGCCATGAACATGCTGGATTTTTTTTCCAGAGGACACTATCTTGTTTACTAGATGATTAGTTGGGCCCTTGTAACACTGCTCCTGTATCTCTATGCCTGCTTTTCTGCCAGAACACCCACCAAAGAGAACTGTGGTAAGGTGTAATGAAAAATGGCAAGTGTTCAGTGTAACCCTCAGGTTATCTAAAGTAGCTGTGGTCTCAATCAGCTCGATTACTGAAGATAGGCAAGTATCTTTAAGGGTCCTGGGTTTGCAATGCTAAAACCTTAAGCATGCCTCATGATCTGAAGACTGTAATGGAAATAAAGTATTTTAAGTATAAGTTGTGTTATGAACTTGGGAAGTCTCCCAGGAAATCTGAGTGTGGTATTCTGCTGTTGAATTCTACCAGAACTGGAGTGGAAGATCTATCTTACATGTAATAGACTTTTCAGTCTGATTTCATGTATTTTTAAAGCAAGTTATTCTGTCTTGTCTTGTCCCCCATCCTCCCCTTTCTGTTAAATATATTTTGACTTTCTGGAAAGCAGGACATTTTGACAAGATAGGTTTCTGATTTTTTGAATCTTTAAAGATTTATTTTTATGTAAAGTATTTAATCATCCATTGAACAGAGTGCAGCTGGTAAATACAGCTAACAGAATCTTTTTGAGAATGACCCATGTCTGACCTAACTTTTGATCTGATCTAACTAAAAAAACTTCTGGTTTTTTAAATTTTGGTGAGAAACATCTGGAAAATGTTTCTCTGACTGTTGTACAAATCGGTACAGATTTTTTGGTATATGAGACTTGCACTTACCTAAAAATGTGTTTTCCTGTTACCTGTGAAGTGCTTCAGAATAAATAGTGTTTGCCTGTTTCATTCCAGGCCAGCACACAGGTGCTCACTGTTCAAAGCACATCATTAATCTACTTGTGGGGGTGGAAGGGGGAAACAGATTAAGGAAAGTGGTGTAGACTTTTTTTTTTTCACGGAGTATTTTAAAAAAATTATTAAAGTTGCCTTGTGACAGCACCTCCAAGTATATTTATTGTGTTCCCATTATCCTCTGCAGTTTCTAAAATCTGCACACCTGCATGTACCTCACCTTAGCAAGTCGACAGTGTGAACCCTGCTGGGTACTTTTAGACTCATTTATTCTAGGGGCTGCAAGGCAGAGGCTGGGAAGTGCAGGGCATACCCGTGTCCCAGATAAAGATTGTGCCCGAGTAACCGGCTCTCGACAACACCCACGCTACGTGGAAGGGGGACTAGGAAAACACCAGTGCGCTGGTGCTGTATGAGGTATGAAGTCAGCCCCTCTCCATCCCCGCCTCAGCCCTGCCGGGCTTTGGTCAGGTGAAGTGGCCCAGCCCCACCTCCGCTGTCTGCCCGGAGGGCTAGCGGGGCAAGCCCTGCAGCAGGGGCCGAGAGAACCGGGGTGGAAGGGCTGAGTCAGTCCCCTGAGCTGGCTGCGCCTACACCCGGCCCGGCTCCCTGAGGCGAGCGGCGATGGCGGAGTCAGCGCTTCCCACCCTCACC